CTATGATCAAGATAGATGATGAGGATGTTAATATTGTAGCACATTTCCTCACATTCATCGGAAAAGAAGCATATAGCTTATTAAAAACTCTGACTATACTGAAAAAGCCCATTTCGCTTCCTTATACAACTCTCAAGGAACTACTTCTAGACTATGTCAAGTATACAAATTTCGATTGCGGTAATGGGAGGTTTCGTAAAATGATTCACAATGATATAAAACATTCCACTACATCACGTCACCCAACCCAGTGCATACTCAAGGTTATGTGGAAAATTCATTGAGGAGTTTGGATGCAATTCACGAAGATGGGCACAAGTTTGGTCAATGCTTGTGATGTGGCAGGTTCCATATCAACTGCTGTTTATCCTTATCACAAAAACACTTCTAATGTTTACTCTAGTCAATGTGAGAAATATGCTTTGAATGAAGCCACATTATTTATAACTTGGGGATATGAAGATCCGACATTATTTCGTGGGGGAGGGTAATCTAAGAGTCTATGGTTCAAATCCTATGTAGCAGCGGTCTCAGTACACAATCGACATGCTGATTACCCAATCCCAGCAAGCAGGTTAGTGTGTTCCGATTTCGGTTGTTAATTCTAATACTCATGAGTGCATTATAGATAATACAAAGTTTATATTCAATACAATGTCGGACAGACACAGGATGAACTTGAGAAGACGTACAATTAACTACAGACACTTATACTCCTATTTAAGCTGTGGCGGATGTGGTGTTTGAATGAACTAATGATTTCATTGTACTTGTTGAATGCTTGATTTCGAATTCTAAATACAATACATTCGTTCGTGCTTCTCTAATACTTCTTGATTCAATTGCGTTATTTCCAGATTCTTAGGTTTTACTATGATAACGCGAAAATTTCTTATTCTTTCTGTACGATGTAAAATTGTTTCTCTGCCCTTTGTTACCTTTTTGCTTGAACTTTCATTTAATTGACTTCTATTAATCTTCATATAAAATGCCTTGACAAGTATATGTGTGACCAGATTGTTCGAAATGTATAGCACAAATACATCGCATTCTCTTTTCATTGTTCTATCGAAATTTATAAAAGGGACTGATTGCTATGTTTATTCCCAAATATTGCTATTCTTATTGGTTTGACATCATTATGAATTCTTCCCAATACATGATTCACTTATTTCGCATTCATCTCTTATTATTTTCATATAAAACTTTTACACATTGTAGTCTTCTATCAAATATTTGATCGAATTTGTAACTACACTAATATTTCTCTCACCCTATCCGACCCATATTTGTTCTGATCATGAGTATTAAAATTGCACTAATCCAAGTTGACATTCCATATGAGTCATATCGACATTAACAATTTTATTCTATTTTGTTTAACAATCCTAAATTCACATACTTCAAATGATGTACTTTGCCCTTGCCTGATCATTTTCCGGATTATTAATTTGGAAATATGAATTGTAGTAACTGAATTGAATTTATCGAAAACAATATTCTTCGTTCAAATACTATGGGGATTTTTAAACAATAAATTAATATCAGTTGAGTATTGTGGATATTATAGTAATTTCAATGGTTAAGATCATGAGATAAATTTCACTACAATATAAAACTAGTGTGATTCGTTAATGACAAAACGCGTCTTATTTCATTACGATTGTGCAATAAGATTTTGTTCTTTCTCTCTCCTTTCGTTTCTTTCTCGTATTTTTTCAACCTAAACAAATATGAATGAAAGTGAATAGAAAGAAACTGAATCCAATCATAATCTAATATGTTGTACGATCTTCAATATCGATTTAACAATCGTTTAGTTTGGAATGTAAATGAAACAAAAATATCTTAGCAATACCTGTTGGTGTTTTCATTTATGATAAAACAAAACTCATACACTTTTTGTAAGTAATTGTGATAGACAAATTTGTGGTTTATCAACAATTCAATTTGCTTTGTGTCGATTTCAAACATGAAAAAGTTATGTTCCATTGGCTGAAATAATCTAACTCATGTACACGTGTTATGAGTTTGTTTCCGTTATAGTTGACCGACATTGTAACATGCAAATAGGTGAAAACTTTCGACTATGTGAGTGGCTACGCGTTTGTCTACTGTTTCGTTCATACACTATACATGAACAATTTTAGAACACTTAGTCCGTGGTTCAGCTTATTCATAACAACAGAATATTACACTATTGTTTTCTATTTGAAATGTTTGGTTCTGTAGAGTTGATTACTGACCACAGATGAAAATTTGTATCTAGTTCAATAAAATGTAGTGAGCAATTTATGGTTAGGTGTGAAACATGACCTCTAAAAATAGAGGATATTTGTAGGTTGCAAGGATTCAATCATGGATGTCTTTGAATCATTGCTAGTATGTTTATGGACTATGAATTTGAGAATGCTGAGACTGGTCACAGAGCACTAGATAACTATGGTAAATCAGTTGACATGGTAGTAAATTTTTATCAATTGAGATGATTTGAACATGTATTACGTATACTCATCCACAGAACACCTCGATATATGATGATGGCTGATATAGAAGTAGATTAGAAGGAAGTTAGAGGCGGCCATAATAAAACATGTCATCAGTCTGTGAAGACAATAATTGGTGATCTGAGCCATGTGAACAGGTACAGTTTACCATGTTGGGGTTCACGTGATCATCGTAACGAATGCTGCGAGATCTTCAACTGGATGTCCTAAAATCATCCGCAATGATGCATCTGGATTTCGCTCCTTGTTCTCTTTCAGAACCTATGTTTCTGACTTCCTCACAAATTTCTTTTATCAGTTCCTTAGTTATTGTTTTCTTCTTGAACCGTTTCTTGAATGGTTATTGTTCTTTGTTACAGCATCTATTACTCTGCAATCTCCACTAACATTTCCATCTTATTGTGTTAATGAGGTGTGGCAACTTGAACCAATGTATACACATGTCGAGTTTTATGTCACATTTAACTGACTGACTGTTTAATTTAACCGTGGTTAAAATTGCATAATGAATTCCACGTTACAGTAATGATGATTTATTTCACTCGTGTATGAGCTATGAGAAACAATCTATACTGTGCACTCAGCTTTTTGCAAATGGAATATGAATTAATCTGAAATGATCAATATTTAATAAGTTGTATGCGCCACGGATTAGCATCATTGACAGTACCACTTAAAAAGAACAGAGAACCGGATAACTGGTTTGTCGTAATATGGAACGCCTCCCAAGTGAGCACCTATGACACCATTGAAAGTGTTCATCATAGAAAGTGACGAATCACAACTTAATTATCGACATTTTTAAATTCGGTTAATGTTTTCTGTTGCTACATTCTACACAAACTGAATAAGGAAATAGATAAATGACAGTCAAAATATCGACTATGTATAACTCACAGAGCATACATCATGAAAACGTGGACATTGGATCCAATCATGTCTAGTTCTATCTTCAGCTATTTTCATAATACCACCGTCTCTTGGACATTTACGCCACTTACCACGGAAGTAAACTAGATGTTTGAATTCAAGACTACACTTCACCTTGAAATTGGAAATAAATCAACATTTTCTGATGAACAAGTTAGTTATACAAAATAATGTCAGCTGGTGAACTAAATACTAATGAGAATAAATAATTTCTTTGATTGAACAAAATGCATGGTTGTATTATTTTGGAAAATCTGTATAAGATATACGTTCACATTATTTTGTATTCAAAAATGACGACATTAAAGTTACTTTCTACTGAACTATGAAATAAAGGAAATCGCTGAAAAATTCCTGTTATATTAAAACACAATTGTATGAAGGAAGATTTTTTTTCGAATATTGTCTCATCAGGTTCTACAATTATCTCATATCTAAATTAATAATCCATAAGATTGGCCAGATTTGAGGCAGAGTACATCATTTGGGGATGTGCTCACGAGCCCGAATGTACCAATTCCTAGAACATCTGCTAATATAACTTGCTCCACAGGAGCAGTTGAATTGATAGATACAGAAAGTCTTGTAATATGATGACGTAATTCGATTAATGTTCATTTTATGTCCCAAACTTATTATTATTATCTTTACCATCGTTATTATCATCTTTATCATTGTTATTATTATTATCATTACACTTGATAACCATTTTGAGGAATTCATTCAGTATCCACTACGATCTACTATATCTGACCTAATTCATATTATTCTACGTATTACGTCATTTCCAATTTTTATTCCATTATTTTCTCTTTCACCCCATGCTGACCATATTTATTCTGATCATTTATCGCACAATTCCATTTCACTTGTAAACTGATTCATGTTAACACTTTATATTAGTCAGCTCCAACATTACCGATCTGAATTGATTTTATATGACAAACAACAATCCTCAATTCACATATTACAATTTCCAAATGATGTACTCTGTCTTAAATCTTGGCTAATTTCATGGATTAATAATTTGGATGTATAATTGTGGAACCTGATGAGAAATTATTGAAAGAATCAAGGAAATCTCATACGATTAGCAAATATACAGCTTACTTTAAAACAACCCGCGAATGCCCGATCGCCATTTCCATCCACATACTTTGTTCCATAATTGAAACATCGTGACTTCTTTCCATAAGATGGACTATAAATGCTCGGGTCTGCAGTGTAAGATAAAAACAAAAGTTCAAAAGTTTTAGGATAAAGTGTTCACTATCAACTTCTGGTACGTAGATCAATATATAAAGAGACAAATCCATTCAATAAAGTGAAACGAATCCCTAACTCAGTGGATACCAAGAAGAATTAGAAGTTTAAACTTAGTTAACAACTCTTAGTCGACCACTACTTGATCTTATGGATACTGAAATGCTACACGTTAATTAGTTTAAAATTTTTTATACTAATTGGTAGCCAGTTTTCAGTGTTCCATGAATCAAATCGTAATGAATATTTTCATGATAGTTCCGTTTTTATTATATCATTGTATGTAGATCAATAAGATTAGGTATCGTGATAATTTGCTGTATATTTCTTTTAGATAAATGTTACTGTCTAATTATAGTGTTCCATAGTATACTTCGCTACTTCACAGTAATAAGTAGTGTGATGATAATTGAGTGTATTCGTTGTAAGTAGTTCGAATAAAGGAAACTTACATTGGTACTTCTCATTATTAGTATCTCCACAGTGAGAATTCAGTGATTTCACATGAACATCGGTTATAATCTGAAGAAAATATTTACAGGACAATGAATTATGATAATATATTTTGTGTCAAAGTACATTCTACTGATCATCCTACAAGAATTTTACAAATAAATCAGGTGATTCAATTTCATGCAATATATATCATTATTATTCAAACTTATGACACATAACTCTGAGTTCATAAAATATCAATTAGAACACTGTGGTCCTAATCAGAAAGCTACGTTATTCGGGCTATGAAGAATGTGATCTGTTTGAAGTGAGTCCCATACAACTCAAAAATGCATTGGTTTATTCTGCATAAGTGTCATGATGTCCAAGTCATAATACGCAGGTTTTTTCCAATCTCAGTTTGGATTAAACCCTGATTCTACAAATTACTTTTGCAATATAAATGAACGACAAACCTACCTGAATTATTCGACGGTCTATGAATGACAGTCACAAAACAATCTCCTCCGGATATACCAATTATAAGGCATCTCAACAGGTGTATAATAGGTTTATTCTAATCACTGTATATAACCTTCATGATTAAACAATAGTAGTGAGCAATTTAAACCTGTATACTCAAACATTAGAAATGTGTTCGACTATTTATTCTTACGTTCTGTTGAGAAAGTAATTTTTCATTAGTTGCCAGTAACTATCTGCCCAACTACTAGTGTTGACATCAGAGAATCGTGAAGTGGTTGATTTTTTTGTGGTTAGTTGAGAAGTCGAAACACATATTGTTTAAACTATGGACAATCAGTTAAAAGTGATCTTTCTGAATGGTGACAGTAATTAGAAAACAGCTTGGCATCGCAACCATCATCCATATTGTTGGAAAAGATTCACAAATCACTTGATTACAGAGTCAATTAGGCATCGGGAGACATTCTCCCGGAAATAGCCGAATGGAATAAATCAACACAAATTCAACTATTCATATGAGTCGTCCTATTTCGTGAAGGATATTTATTCATGGTGTTTTGTATGGTATACCAATGAAATGTCAGCGTACACATTTAATTGTAACACCAATGACACGTAGCTATTCAAAAATTAGAATTTAGTTTCAGATGTTAGTTTTCACTTGAAATCATCTTTATCATAAAACAGTTTACGTACAGCATAGATCAACACTTTCTGAAGATAAAATTCGAAATATTTGGATCAGTAAATCAGAAAAATTTGATTATGTGACACAATGCGGTAGTTAGAAATTAAACAAAATGACTGATATGTAAAAATATTCGGGTACAATCCTGGTCTTGAATGATTTTATACATATTACCATTTAAAAGTCAAATAGCCTATAATTTCAAAGTTCGTATGTGAGTTTTCGTCGTCTGTGACCACTAAATTTACTTAGAAACAGCAATGAATTCATACATAACTGAGTATTGTATTCTGAAGTGAACTGAGTTCAAGTTGATTACCACAGCCATAGCAATACGTATTTTTCGTAATTATTAACTTAGAATTTGAGAAACGATTACTCAAACCGATTTATTCACTTTAGGATTTAATTTTCTCAAAACAAACTTTGATCGATTCTGTAGGTATCATTACCAAGGTTTGACTTGATAATTTCGAATAAATCGAGTATTGGGTTGATTGTTATAAATATTTTATTAATTTGATCGATTCTGTTTAACATTGATTAGTGAATATTGCGTTTCGTTTGTTAATCGTTTGAATGCAAAGTAAAACGTATGTATCACTGCATTGTGACTGGTTTATTTTGAATCCAAATCTTGGTATATTGATTAAAATGTACAACTATATAAAACTGTACTTACAGACAAATATGGACAGTGATCAGCATAAGTGTCAGATCCTCCAAACCTACTTAGTTCCGAAGGCACTATATTGGGCAGGCTATCGAAGTGTATATGTTCTGGGTTTAGAGGTAAACTGAGATCCTTTAAATTGCATATTCCGTATGCATTCATATGGGGAATGCAGTGAACAAAATTTGCATCATTTAGTTCATCACACCAAGGTGATGACGTCCGTTGACTGTAAACAAAAACAATTCAATAATCGGTTCAACAGACTGGTGAACCACGTTATGATTGACCGTATACATTGTATCAATATATTTTAATAATTAATGATGAACTAATTTGGCAAGTTGAATAAAAGCAGACCAAAATTCATTTAGCGAGAACATGCAACCAGTGGAGTTCAACTGTGTCAGTATGAGTCAGTCACTCATCGAAGACAATTGAAGATAATCGCTCAATATCGTGGGATCGTTTGAAGTTGGGTATGAACACTGCCGGATGCCTGTCCAAAGGTTTGAAGTTTAAGCGTTCGTGTGTATACGAATGCCTGTGTTTGAGTCCCGTATGAATGATCCTGGAGTGCCACTGGTGAGGCGTTTCATAGAAGGACGAAATGGTTGCACAGTATCTCCAGGATTTTAAAAGGTGGTTGAACATTGTTCGGTTCATTATCTCAATTAAATTCAACAATCCTCACCACCGTACACTTTCATTCAAATATTTGGTAGACACATGAATTAATGACAGTAGATATTTCGGTGAAAATATGTTTACGGTGAATTGTGTTGTCTGTGAAATAAGAAAGTTCGGCACTATTGACCGGTCGTTTTACAAGTGAGTATCAACGGAAATCTATATTCGTTAAAATGTCTAGAACGTAATTAAACCGTAATTCAGAGCAAAGATTTCTGACAGATTTTAGTTATTTTCTGTTTAGTTATCATTATGTGCACCAGTCATCAAGTTTCATGACACCACAGCCGTTTACTATTTACATTTGTTTAAAACATCTAAGAATTTTATGAACTAAGCTGATAACTCGCAATTCCGACTTCAATGACAAAGAAGCGACTACTTCTTATTGTCATTTACTTCGCCCACTAACTAGAGTTTGACATCCACACTTATATAGAATAGCAATTGATACGGACTTAAAAAGATCGTTTTGTGTTATAAATTATTTCATTTAATACAAGTTATATTCAGTGTTTGTCAGTTAGTGATATAACGACAGAAATAAAAGTATATTCTTGTTTCTACTATGTACGTTGTGATACGATACCACAAATGTTTGCTCAGATTTTACAGCAATTAGACCATATACGCGATTGATACTATCTACACAGAATGACCATATTATACCAGATACCAGATATTCATGCCTAATAAAACAAATAAGAGAGTACACTTAACAATACTTTTTATTCTATATTCTTGCCTTTTAATGAATTCACCACAACTTTTGAAAATAAAATCACATCCTTGACCACGACCCCAATCCCATGGTTTAGCCATAGAAATATCTACATTATACCATCTGAAAGATGAAGAGTTAATAGATATCATCTTCATCATATTTTATAATAATAATAATCTACTGACCGTTGAAAGAATTCACTGACAGGAATTGTCGATTAACTCCTAACAATCAATAATCTTAATTGGTTCAATTTATAAGCTTAAATAATGCAGTGAACGGATCAAACTGGTATAACAATCAAACTAAATCAGGTTGGTCAGCTAATCGGACATAATTATTTAGAAGTAACTCATAATTGTTATTCATTATTGTAATCTTTTGTTCAGTCTACTAGGATTATATGAATACTTGAACGATGTGTAAAATCGAAGTAGCGAATTTAATTGAAATGTCATCACGAAGTTAAGCAGCACATTAGTGTTATGCCTAATTTCAGTTGCAATTATTCTGATAATTTCATTTTCAGAAATCGTGCAATGGAATAGTTCATAGGACTAGAAGGCTCTCTGAAAATATAGATGATTATGAATGAATACGCTCAGTCAATCGGTCATCGGCCAAGTGAGAGGTTAGATCTTCTGACAGGTGCAACCTATGGGTTAACGTTCGACTTTCGAAGAAGACCGATACACACTATTGGTCGGAAACCTGTTTTAATGTCCCGGGAGCAATAGACATATATTTATGGGAAGTTGTCCATACACTTACGATTAGAGTTTAATTAATAAATCTTCCTGATATTTATCAACGTTCTCACACAAGCAGCAGAACGAGATCACGAATAGGAAGACTGTATGACAGTAACAGTTCACATTTTACAAAACATTGAAACTAATACATTTTAATTATCACCGTCTTAAGCTTATAGTTACATAGTGAGAAAATACAACGAAATTTTCACCATCGATACACATATTCACATACTCAACAACACACTGTTTTGAACTTTACCCAGTATCTTTGAAGTAGCTGAGAGTTAAACCGGAAACAGACGCCATGAAGTCGCAAGTAGCAGACATAGCTTCTCCCTGAAAATTAAAACAGAAATGACGTTGGAGTAATCATTCGAGAGAATATTTATGACTTGATATTTGTTAAATTTAATGTAAACGTATAATAGAGAGACGTCGTTCGAAGTGTGTAAGTTTAGTTCCATCGTCACCATCGGATTCTAGATCAACCGCATCGAGCTCATTGCATTGAAAATGATTTCTTGCAAAGTTCTGTTTGAAAGAAGAGAAGATAACAATAAATTTATCTAGATTTTTGTCTGAATGTCAAATATACATCAAGAGGCTACATTGATCAGGTTGGTTGAAGTCATTAAAACTACTGCAATTCGACAGTCTTCATTTAAAGGAACATGTAATTTTATGTTGAAATGGAAGGGCTTTTAAGATATATTTGTAGTAATGACTGTTACGTTCAAGTGCTTACCAATGTTGCATGAGAGTCATACTGAAGTGTGAATTGAACGAGGTGGTAGAGACACATAGGTAATCCTTCAGTCCATATATGTGTGTGTCAATGTAAATACAGTACAAAGGTCAGTACGGATAGTTTTTAGACAGCTTTAAATAGACGAACGAAGGATGACTGGTGATAATTTACTAAGAATGAATAAAATGTTTTAAAAGTATGGACTGGTGGTCGTTGGCCTTCTATTCTTCCTCCTCGTTCAGTGCTAGTTAGTATTGGGAGAACCACCAAACACAGAGTATCAGTTTCCATCGTCCTTTCCGCGTCTACGCGTATTAGTTGGCTGTAAGACATAACAGTTTGTATAAGTACAATGAAGTGTGTTGATCGACATAATGATCGAACTCTGTATAAAGTGAACTGACTTGGCACTGAACTCTATGATTTGTAGATTGACCGTTAATTCCATTGTTTTTCTATACACTATTGCTAATATATGTCTTAAAGTATAATGATAATATTTGCACAAGTAAATTGATTTTTCATGATTTCCAGTTAGAACACCTGATTTCCCATCGGAAATTTATGATAGATGTGAATTGTTCATGATATTGAACCAAACATTCATTGATAACATTTATCTAATTAAGGCGAGAGACAACAAATTAATCAATTTAACAAACATTTTCTCTCTTCATATGCCAATAAAACAAGCTCTAGGAGTAAACCACAATAAAACATCACAGAATCAGTGAAATATGTGTAAAGTCAATGATATACTTACGACTACACTTGGTAATGTTAATGCGACTCTCTTGTACGTCTGCTTACCGGCGACTGTATGCCATGTCCTGGACACGTATTTTATAGTATTTCTGAAAACAAGGTTCCAATAAGTAAATTGATACTGCAACGTTTGAAATGTAGTTTGAAAAGACAGTCATTTGATCTGATATGTGAATAGTATTAAGATAATAAAAGGTTATATTGCTTGTATAGACTCTGTCTGTCTGTCTTAACCTGAATATCTTAACTGAAATTCTCACATATAAATGGGTATTTGGCTTTTAGTACTGCGCATGCCAAATGAGACCAGTCCCAGAACAATTTGGGAATTGAGTGGGAAATTTACATTCCATGATTCATTCATTGTCATTCATAATGGAGTCGATTCGTTGCCAATGAGCAACTGATGATCCGGTTACTGATTGAGTTAGTTACTTCATGTCAGTAATTTGCAATGGAATACTTATCTACCCTATAAACGAACTGTTCGGATGAAAAAGTTGAGCATGATTTGAGGAAACTGGAATATTTTCAATAATTACGTAGAAAGTGTTCAATGAGTTGGATTCGAGAAAGAGTTTGGAACTCCGTCGTTTTATGTATTTTAAATAGGACAGTGTTGTGTTAACGCAAGATGTTAAGACAGAGAGTCGAGTAGTGTTTTAAATGTTCCTTACCGATCAGCTTTTAATCCTTCGTTGGCATTTGTTGGCAATTCCGGTTCACCAGTATCTTGGTTACGCTTTGTTCTAGGACTACCATCATCATGACGTAGGTAAGGAAACAACCAATAATCGAAACCCTGTTCAATAAAATAATATTTTATTATTGATTGAAATCATTTGAACGAGTCTCACAGTGGCATTAAGAGGCATATGTCAAGTAACTTTATTTATTATTGCTATTTTCTGCTATTTTCTTAACATCCTCATCGGAAGTGGAGTAAAACAATACACTTGATCTCTTCGATAAATTTAAAGGCATTCAATCATTTGTTAAAATGAATTCACGAAAGTTTAACGACTGTTAGCATCCCAATACTTTTCTTAACAAAACGTTCTGTTGTACACAATGGAACGTAACAAAAGTATGTAACTACAGCTGTGAAATTGTTCTTCAGTTTACAGGTCCTTGCAAATCACGCGGGTTACTACACCTGAGAAATTATCCGAAACTGTGAGTAAGGTGATAATGATAATTTATTAATACTGTTTCATTGTGCACATTGTGTAGTGACTTCAATGGTCATCGTTACAAGAATACAATACAAAAATAAGTAAACTGTGTAATTAATAGTTGTTTCACTCACGAATGTATGTCCTAATTCATGAATAATAACTCGTTTCAATTCGCCTGGGTTGTAATCAATATATTTCATAGCTGATAAAATTGTAATTGAACCGGCGATTGGTCTTGTTTACAAACAAAAATAATACAATCGCAATTATTAGGCACGGAATAATGTAAATAATAAGTGGCATAAATCATAATAACTGACAAGCTTTCGAATCATTGGAAAGTTGACAGCATTTAAGGTAATTGCGGTAACAACGGAAGCTATTGTATCACAGAGCATTGGTAGTTTATAATGAAAAGTCAGAAGGAAGATGCAGCGACTTATAAATTTCAAATAAATTTTGACTGAAACAGTGTTTTGAAAACAAGTAGATTTTTGTCGTGTGATTGAAAGATTCCTAAATTGTTTTCTATATAACTAATACAACTGTACATAGTGAATCAGAAACATGCAACTGTTCTTTTCAATCCTAGTTTTTATGTCTGATCATGATAACATCCCACCACCGGATCAGGTAATTGCATCACAACACTGCACTACGTTTCCAGTGAACCGTTCAAAAATCCTAACTCAGGACATCACTGGCATCACGAATGATTGTGATGGTTTCGCTCAAATGCTAACCATATGTATAGAAGTGTTTCCTGTTTCACAAAATCAAGCCACACAATTTAAAGTTTCATCAACACTGACGACGGCCGTATAAAATCAATGAGTGAATAATCGTAGCCAGTTCAGAAAATCTGTTAGTTAAAATTGTCAAGTGAAGAGCTAATATAGAATGCAATTTTCGTTCTAGTGTACTCCATATGACGCTGAGTTTGATGAAGTAACATTTTTGATCTCAATGTTTAACACGATATCTGTGAGACCACGAACTAGTTTAATTTGTTGACTCGCATGTTATCTGAATTATATTGGTTTTTGAGAGGTAGTGAAGTAATCATTGAACCTGTTTGTTACGCTTGGCAGCGAATTGTCCGTATTGTCGGTAGACAATTAAGACGTTGTGATACTTGAATGATATGAAACAGGAAATTCAAGAACATCTGTGGTACTGAAATTTAGATAAGTTAGTCTCAGTATAAGATTTTAACCGAACGCAAACAATAATTTTCACACATCAACCGATATGTTACTTACCTATTTGTGTCTAAATCCAGCTGACAAGTGTCAGCTGTAGCCAACGATGTGTGAGGTCCATAATCACCCGAACGAATAAACAGAATAAAGTCACTTTTGTCTGACTTTTTGACTTGGACTTTTTCCACAACATCTTCTTCAGATGAACAACATTTCTATAGAAACGGAACATTAGAAAGGTTTGCGTAAAGTTGTCTGAGGACAAAACGTAAAAATTGTACTCGAAATGTCTTAGACTACTTTTGTTGTCACAACCGATCCAATGATTATTATTATGTACACTTAAAGTTGTTCAAAGCTGGAAATCAGTGTTTTGTTTTTTCAAGGGTGACCTTCATAGTACATGAAAAACCCAAATAACCGAGTTAAAATACCGATTAACAACACGACCGGTGAAGCTTCACTTCCTCAGCCAGTGTCGATTGATAGAATCTAAATTAGATAACAAATCTCTGTACCTCAACTATGTTCGATAATGAGCACAAATCACCTTTGTGTTTAGAATGACGGTCCATCATGTGACACTGTGTGGGTGTCTCCCAGAGTTCCCTTAACTTTTAAAACAATTATTAATTGTTTCGCATTATTACGGAGAAAAAATATGCAGAGTGATGTTGAAAATGATACAGTGTCTGACATGATCACAGCCCGGTAATAATTAAATTTAATGGAAAAGTTAACCACACCGAAACAGACTAGCGATAACATTGATAACTGACGAGTTTGACAGTTCGGTTATTTATCTGTATGATGCAGTGAGATTTCCTAGCGTACATGTTTGGTAGCAAGAATTTTATCACATAAAATTCACGACACTCGGAAATGTATCTTGCTGGTTGCTACTGGGCACCAACTGGAATAACTTTCATGTTAATTCATATGCAACGTTTAGTGATCCTGTTGTGGTATATGCTAACTATGCCAACAGATAAAAGTAACATGTAGCAGCAATCGGAAGTGGGATACCTGCCAGCACAAGATGGAATTGAAGAGAACAGGAAGGCAAACAAGTAACAATGTAACAGCGACAGAATTTAAAGAATCACAAAGTATGTGAAAGAAAACTGAAAGAATATGTGCAAATAATGTATTTAATGCACGATTCTCCTATTTCACTAGTATAACTGTGTAAGCAATAAGTAGATTTACCGCATCTGGGTTTACGCTAACTACACTGTAATGTTTTGGAAATAATGTTGATCTAGAATAGATTTACTTTCTACTGACACTTTAGAGTGTTGTGAACTGACAAAATACTCCAGAGTTAACGAATCAAGAACTTATAAACTATCTGCAATTCATATTTCGTGTGAAGTAATAACTGATGTTGTTCATAGGATTGTTGAGGATGGAATTGATTATTGCCTACACTAAATTGGATTTTTCCTGGTGATGGGTGGGATGTAATCCTCACGCTTAAGGTACGACAAATATTCAATTGTTTCAACTGGGCAACTGACCTGAAGATACTTCTCGGGGATTTCAAAACCGTTACATATCGACACTTTGTTACAACCACCTTCGCAGTAATGATATTGTGGCCGCATTTGTGATCGAACTCGTTCATTGCATTTGCTAATGTATTCGAAAGGAGAATAAACAACAGGAAAAGAAATGTTTATTTATCACTCTGAGTGCACATCATTGTGTAATGACACATTCAAGAAGTTGACCACCGTCGACCACAATGTTTTGTGTCATTGTTTACCTCTGAGGTGTATCCAAAACACAATAAATTTCTAACTTCTCGTTGCTCAAACAATAATGGACACAATCAGCTACCAACTGCATTGACAACCACCTGTTGCTTATATCGAGGCTGTACTCTACTCAAACTTAATTCATTTCTGTCAGAGATGTTCTCGAAACACTACCTCCTTAGTTCGGGTTTTCACTGGTTGACTCTCTCCCTAGTAACCACTCGACCTCTGGATATACGGTGTGAAGAGATGTCTGCCTAATGAATGCCCTGACACTATGCAGAGAGTTCAGAACACAGTGATTGGGAATGAAACAATTATAGGAATGGAATCCTCTCCCAACAATGCAATTTGTCGCATCAGCACTGGCTTTCCTCCACACTCTGACCGATAGCACCCAGTAAACTATTTGACCGAGCTGATGACTGGTAATGTTCTTGGACGCATTATCACACTAGATGGATTGTTGATGGACAACAGTAATCTGTTGAACAATGCGCTCTGTATTGCTGTATTGCTGTTATCAGTTCACTCTAAATTCAAAAGTATTTGTAACATCAATGTCTTAGTTTCAGTGAAATGTATAAATGTGTTGTCCTAGTTTCTTTTTGTAATAGGTGTGATAATAACCAGATTTTAGTGGCTATTCACAAACTGTACGTTCGCCAGTCATCCAGTAAATGTCTTAGCATCTTTCAAAAGGCTTCACAAAACGTGGGAAGTGTTCAACTTTACTTCGCAGATGTACGGTGCATTGAAACGATTGAGACACGCGTACTGGTAGAGGAGTAGGGTGCGTTTTTGTTATAATTTTGCCACCATCACTATACTGCTAAATGTTGTTGATTTAGTCAACTTAATTGAAAGACATGTTTGACAAATCCTAAATAGCTTGTGTCATAGATGCAGATGAGTTTTATGACTTTCAATGATGTTGGTATAACAAAGTGATGGCCCTACACTACAAGTTTACTTCCATAAGAGAACAGACAGAAGATATAGGTGGTTTGTTCTATGAACAAACATCACATCACATATCAGTATAAATGTTTAGGATGACAGGTCAACTGCAACAAAGAGAATCCTAACAATATCACAACATGGAAATTACCCAATTTGTATGACTGTTAATAAACTAACCGTTCTATTAATATTTGTTGGGTAGAGATTCGCTTCGGTTGTATTGCCTTTGTCCAGAATATCAAAGCATCTTTGACCTGCCTCTGCAATTCACAAAAGTGTTCCAATCAAACAGAAGATGAAAACAGGTTTAGTTTTGAAGACTATCGAATATTCAATGACTGTTAATCTTGGTGAGATTCTCAGTACTCCATAATAATGATTATCACAGATCAATGAGTCATACATCTTATTGGTTCTCAACTGTTTCATAATTTTTTAGGAAGGACAAAGTGGAGTAACGAAATCGGTGACCCAAATTAGTCTATCAGTATTCTGAACTGAAATGGTCATAGACGACTAGTCATTTAAACTGATGGTTTATTGATGAATAAATTATTAACCGTAATTTATACTGGATTTGAAGTGTTGTCGAATCTCAAGCTGTAACATCGTTGACTAAATTGTGCAATGCACATTCTGTGGTAAAGACCTGACACCTATCGTTTGAAAACACTCATAGTAATGTACTTGTGTCAGATTTTCAATGTATTGATATTTATCATACACTTATCAAATTACGGCCTTTCCTGTTACCTTAGCTTAGTGATCTGGTTTTCCTATCACGATGAACTAATTGCGCTATACTGACTGGAACAATAGTTCCTCAAGGTCCTACCATACCAGACGGGACAGGCAATTTGCTTGATGATTGGTATTCCGATCAGTGGGGTCATTTGTCAACTTTTTGGAGTTTACTCCGGGCTGGTCGTAATCGAGGCAATAATTCGATTGGGAACTCTGGTTCTACTAATGAGCCTAATACAAGACCTCGTCCTGATACAATTACATACGATCCAGCTAACGATCTACCAAAGTATGAGGCAAGTAGTAATTAGTGTTATCATTCGTGTTATGACTATTGCTCATGGTCAGCGTTATAATACGTACACACGCTGTGTCGAATCGGCCAGCCGGCCTCCTTGGGTAAAACCCTAGAATATCGTACTAGTCGAGTCAGAGCTTATGACGAACTGTCATCTGATATTGCAACCTCTGGTGGCGTCGAACAAGGTTGTCCACTATTTCCATTTTTTCGACTTCATCATGGATCTACTGCTGGAATTAGTGTCTTCGTCGACTGAATTTTAAGGAATAGATCTCCCACCATGAGGTGCACTGATCGACTTAGAATACGCAGATGATATAGTCCTGTTTGGCGAAGACGCTGATAAAATGCAGAGTGTTTGGTGGCACTGAGCAATAATGCCAGGACGTTTGGAACGCGTTTCTTCCTATTTCGAAATTCACGTTGTTGCTTCAGGATTGGGCTGTGTGAACACATGAACTAAGAATAGGGAATGAAGTAGTCGAATGCGTCGACGACTTTAATTATCTTGGAAGTCTGATCTACCCAAATGTGTCGGTGTCTGACGAAATCTCTGCATGGACTCAAAAGCACGTTTGGCTTTTGCCAACTTACGTCACTTGTGGCGAAGGCTAGATATTCGTCTATCAATTCAGGGGCGATTATACTGTGCGACAGTTCGTTCTGCTTTAATTTGAGGCTGCGAAACGTGGCCAATAAGAGTAGATGATACTCGTAAGTTACTAGTATTTGACCACAGATGCATTAAAAATATTGCTGAGATGACTGGGTAAGTATAGTGAGGTTAGGCACAGGGTATTAGGGAATGATGGTAAATTAGTTGATGAGGTTGTGAGTCTTCATCGGCTGAGACGGTTGGGCCCCGTGTTACGTATGCCTGAACACCGATTACCACGACGAGCAATGCTGACTAGTGTTGTGGATGGTTGGAGGAAGGTTAGGGGCGGCCAAACCAAAACATGTGATCGGTCCTTGAAGTCGATAACTTGGAGTCTGAGACATGTTGGTATGTGCCGACTACTTGGTTGGGGTCCGCATGACTAACATAACCAATAATTGAAGACTCTATGTGACATGGCTCAAAATCGATGACAATGGCGTTGGTGTATACACTCTCTGTCTTTCCTTAAACACTGAGATTAACATTGCCTTATACCTTTCTTTCCACGAACTAATTCTTTCTTCTTGTACTATGTCAATATGCACAATGTTTTTTATATAATAATACCATTGAAGTAACTGCTTCTATGAATTCGGCGTTCACCTTCTTGTGCTTATGAGGTGTGACAACGTGGAATGATACGTATGTGCGTCTGGTCCAACATTGTAGCTGACTGACTGACTGACTGAATTATATTCGCATAGTAGTAATCTACTGTGGCAGTTTTAAGAAGACAATATTGTCCGGAAATTAACACTACGTTTGATTAGGCAGTTTTCCCGTATTTCTGGCCTGACATTTTTATCAGTTCTGAGATCAGTGTTTAGATAAAATAATTTGTCCATTAAATGTCTTATAAACTTCAACTTCTTCAATTATACCTTCCATCTGTGAGAACACGAATTTGATAGTTAGTTGGTATGTATTGCATGACCATGAAACAATACATAAATCGTATTTAAGAGCATATGTCAGAATCCTTGAAGTCAGTTGTAATAACTAACGTTTTAAACAGCCTAATGTTCTTGAATGCATGTACAAGTTTTGAAAAGTGTAACAATAAAAAGTGAAACAATGCGTTAAATATTAGACCGAAATATATACACAAACGTACTCGCACATTTTATGTTCGGTGCATTACGTAGATAAAATTTATATAGAATGAGTAACATGGGGCTATAAATGATGAATTAACCTTGGAACAAAAGCATGTAATGCACGTGTATGTATTTGCAAATAACATTCTTATGGTTGACTAACCTTGAATAAATCATACTGTAAATGGTTTTTTAAATCTTCACTCAGAACCACTCGGACACGGAATTTTTCACCAACGATGAATTCACTTCTTCGACGTATATTAGGTTCAAGATTTTCACTGTCACTCTTTAAATAATTGAAATAAGAATGACTGAATCGAATACAAAATTACGGCATAGTTTTGTGCTACCAAACATTCCACAAGTCTCTCCGTCAAGAGAAACAAATACAAAATAATAAGCAGTAACGACATTTTCTTAAAAATAAGCAGAACGGAAGCAAATTCCATTAAGGTTTTGGTATTATTCTGTTCACAGAGCAACTTATATAGATTTTACGGGTGACGTGGATGATAAAACAAACAGTTTTAATTAATTTGTAACCTCTTTTAGTAAGTATTCAATGATAAACAACGATGTTGTCTTTTTGCAAATTCAATTTTTCTTTGAGAAAAACAAAACTACATCTCAACTACTCTCAGATTCACTACATTTTATGATCACAATCAATATTATGTAGGTTGAATAAATTTTTGGATACTTAAATTATTATCTCAAAGCAGTCTTGTTGTTAAAACAAAAAGACGTGATCAATTAAACAATTACTAAACTTTGATGGACTATCATTTATTCTAGTGAAAGTTGGAGGTTTTATTTGATCACTGAAATCCAACAGAAATATCGATTTGTTCAGTTCTTTCTCAGAATTGATGAAGCCATTATGTACAACTCTAGACTAATCTCACTGACAGATTTGTTTATCACATTTGACAAACTCTATCTGTACGACACTATAATAACATAGTAGAAATTAATATCTTTTAAAAGAAAAAAAGTGTTGTACCAAGGAGATGCGCGTAATTTATGTTCTACCATTACTAACACAATCCATTTTCGCATTGTTTTTTGAATCCTCATATGGAGGCTTAGGACTGTAACTGGTCAGTCACATTCAACATATGTGCATTTCGTGCAGGTTGTCTCGATATTGCCTTAAGTTACAGGTATAATAAGCACAGATAGATGGTGATCAGCAGTGAGATACAGGACTCGCGTTTCGTCCAATTAGGGACTCGCGAGATGGATGTACCTGAACCTCAGAATTGATGTTCACTCCTGAATTGGAACACGGTTCCGTTCGCTTCAAACGCCAGTGAGTTATCCACTGAGCTACTGAGTCCAGATAGCCACTGGCCTGTGCAGTGGGATGAAGTTTTAATTCGTTTTAGTATTGGTTGTTTGAAGTTCCCAATGTATTTATGACTACAGTTATTCGATAGCTAAGTGCATAAGGCGATGGCGTTTGAGGCGAACGGAACTGGGTTTATGTCCATTAGTGTGAACGTCAAATCTGAGATGCGGGTACATCCATTTGACAAGTTTCAAGTAGAATGTAACGTGCGCCCTTGATTCCACTAATAGCCACTGTTCACCTTTGCCTACTATACTAATATAACGCTTTAGACATTCGTCTATAGTTACGAAATTTATAGTCATACATAAATGATCACAAAACATGTATTACTATTTTAAAATAAAATAAATCTAAGGATAAGCAAGTTGGCTAAGCATTAAACAAAATATTTTGTGATTATTGTAAGCAGGTTGCTGTTAAAACTGTTAGAGGATCAAGCGTACAAAAAATGTAATTCCAACGAATGGACGCACAAGTTAGTAAAGAAGAGGAGTTTGGTAGCAAACGTCCGAATGTAAAAAGTCGATACAAGTTACTCCGTAAAAACATCTTAACAATCCAAGATACTCTTTTCTAAAGGCTTTAGAAAAGAACAGGTATTAAACAACTGATATATATAGTGTCAGTTGATATTTCAAGCCCACATTAGCTTATTCTAGCTTCCGGGCAAGTCAATTTATTCATTCTTCTTGAGTCACATTTTGATCTCGTTAATTATTCGCTTCAAAATCTTGACTGTATTTATATGAGCGTGTGTGTGTGCACTTCTTATCCAATTCATCACATGTCTGTAACTTATTTTTATCTGACTATAAATATCAATGAATAACCTTCTGCACTCCATACTTTTGACGAACAAACTCAGCAAAGCCAGGTAGATCGATAAACAATGCAGGTTTTGACCATACGATCGAATCAGAGAGATCACGGCATCACTGATGTGGTAAGCTTTACTTTGAGCTTAACACACACTGCAAATCTGCGCAGATGGTGAACATCTCGAACTCTACGCGTCCGATAAACCAACTAAGTGGCTGACTAAATCGACGAGCAACTCAAATGACTCAATCTCTAGTCCGACTCATTCATCGAATACGGTACGGTAGGTATATGGGCACATTCAAACCGCATTATCTTATCGGTACTTTGTCCTCGTGTTAAATCTCATTGGTATGTTCGGCGGATCATTCCATTATGATTGCGGCAATTATCGTTGTTGTGATTATATTATTGTTGTATCACCTAAAATGGGACTATTACTTTTGTCCGTGCTGACACTAAATTATGATATTTACGCAGTCATATTACTCAGTAAACAAATTACAATTTTATGGACATTCTATTCACGTTATGACATTCTAAACTCACTGGACTATATTTATTGTTCAATAAAGTAAAATGTTCTTGCTTTAAGTGAGTTCGTGTCATGTTTAGCCTGATAATACACTCATTTACATAGTTGTGGTCACTTTTATATTTTCCTACCACAAATTTTTCAGTTTTAAATCACTTTCTATTACGTCTGTGAATGCCTCTAATTCTAGTGAGCTTTTTCTAAAATTGGTTATCTTTATTTTGTTCTGGATCATTTATCGCATCAATAGCCTAATAATCATCGTTCACCTCTGTGCATAAATGGCTATCACATGTCATATATTTATAACAAATTTACTAGCTGCTCGTAAATCGAACAACCTGCAACCAGCTTAGTAAATCGGCGGTTTAACGACACGCACATGCACGCGAATTGTCAGAACAAGTGGTCAAGCGAACTTTCCGCACGCTGATAACGGCATGGTTGCAACTATACCAATGCTAGCAAGGACTAGCAACACTATCACAGACATAAGTTCAGAGTCATAGATCCAGTAGTAAGAACT